TAGTTTCCATACAAACTTCAACATTTTCTAAGATTTCATACATATTGCGCACAATGACATCTTGCATTGGAACGCAGTATACCGAGTGCACTTTTTTGTTTAAACTCATGTAACTTCTAACCATTCGATTATATGAATGATGTCTTCGACAAATTTATGCTAAATTAAACAACTACAATATTGTCTTTTACCCCAATGCTCTACAGCAACTCGGTATACTCTTAAAACTCTTTTAAAAACATATCGCGTGTACAACTTTGCTTCCGCCATTATTTTGGAGAACTCGCCTTATAAAAACCGGCGGAAGCAAAGTTGTATATTAATATTGATATTGTTTTGTTTCGTCGCTTGTAACTTCTAAACCATTCGATTGATATTAATGATGTTTATGAGAAATTTGCTTAAAATTAAATTATCTACAATATTGACTTGTACCATGAAGCCCTACAGCAACTCGGTATGCTTTAAAATTGAAATATAATACAAATGTTTTCCCATCGGGCTAGTATGAGTTTGAACAAAATAGTTTATAACTAAAACTGAGTACCTTTTTTTATAAATAATTATATACAAAGACTATTTTTTATATTTAATTATTTTGGACACTAAAAGGCTACTTGTAATTAATAATATATATATATATATATTATATAATATAATATATATATATAAAATATATAGATAGAATATATATATATATATATATATATATATATATATATTTATATATAGAGGGACGTCAAGATTTTTTTGTTACCTTAAATTTAATCTTTTAAAGATAATTGTATGTACATGGCCTTATAAATAATAATCTCCATGTCATTTTTAACTACATAATTATATATATATATATATATATATATATATATATATATATATATATATATATCGGCTACAATCCCAGACACAAATATCCATCAATACATTTTTATAAATACAAAATTAAACATCAAAAGCACTTACAAAATGCTTTTCCTAATATTAATAATAAAAATACACAAAATTGTTGCAATTTTGTATAAAACATCAACAATTTTCTATATTAATTATATAATCTAGTTCGTGCAATTATTTTAGGCCGTACCGTTTGTATTACTCCTATAAAAAATACAAAAAACCGTAAAGTTTGTTTACAAAATATACACCGACGCCCACACTATTCTGATTAACTGAATTTTGGTACATTTGCAATTAGTGTGGATGCAAAGAAAACAATTTGAAGTTTGAGTAATTTTTAAAAATATAAAGCATGTAGCTAGGGTGCTGTAATTTGAGTATGTCGGTGTTCAGGGTGTATACTATGAAGACAAATACTAAAATGATGGGGTATTTTGGAAAATTTTGAGATATTAACGATTTTGTGGAAAAAGTATCCAAAATGTATCTGAGATGTTGAGGTAATATTTAAAATTATACCATTGTACCTAGAGTGCTGTAATTTGAGTATGTTACTCTACAATGTATATACTATGATGTCAAATACTAAAATTGATGTGTTTTCTAGCAAAATATCTTGTAAAGTGCATAAATACGTCACTGGCGCCCGCACTACTCCCATAGAATTCGTACTAAATAAAAACAATCTTACTTTTGAGTAATTTTCATAATTATACCGTTTGTACTAGAATGCTGAAATTTGAGTATGTTACTCTTCAATGCATATACTATGATGATAAGTTTTAAAATTGATGAGTTTTCTCAGAAACTTTTGTAATTTTATTAATAACGTCAACAAAGTACCCTTAACAAGTTATTAATACAAACAAAGAAAACATTTTGTACTTTGACTAATTTTAAAATTACACTTTTTATTCTATAATGCTGTAATTTGAGTATGTTACTCTCCAACATATATAATATGAATACAAATACTGAAACTGATAACTCTTCTTTCAAAATTTCTCAAAAATAATAATTTTCGCCACAATCGTCAACGACTCCTCCACTACTCTCACAGGAAACGAAAAATACAATTTAAACTTTGACTAATTTTTAAAATTACACTATTTGTACTAGAATGTTGTAATTTGAGTATGTTACTCTTCAATGCATATACTATGATAACACTTTTAAAATTGATAAGTTTCTTAACAAAATATAATTAATAAAAATAATTTTCTTAAACAATGTTCGTAAGTGTTCTTATATATTTACCAGAATTGTTTTGCAAGTTTGAATTTTTATTATAATTATATCATTTGTACAAGGATACTGTAATTTGAGTATGTTACTTTCCCAATGCATATACTATGACAACAAATACTAAAATTGATAAGTTTTATAACAAAATGTTATGTAAAATCAAAAATTTCTGAATAAATGACATTGCAATTCGTTAAGTACTTTTATCACATTATTTTTATACATTATTATTAATAATTTAAAATTTTGTGAGACAACTCATCAATTTTAGTATTTGACATCATAGTATATGCATTGAAGACCAAAATACTCAAATTACAGCATTCTAGTACAAGAAGTGTAATTTTAAAATTAATCAAAAATAGATTACATTCTTTAATTTTTTACTAATTTCAAATGTCTTTCTATTTCATTTATAATAGTGCAGACGTTTGGATAATTATTAATAAATTAATACTTTCCAAGAAGAGTTATCAATTTTAGTATTTATTATTATAGTATAAGCATTGGAAAGTAACATACTCAAATTACAGCACTTTTGCTATATACTAAATAATCGTATTGTTCGTACGTGGAAATAGTGCAAGCGCCAGTAACACTTGTACAGATTTATACTGTTTGTAGAAAATTTTGTTAGAAAACTTATAGATTTTAGTATATTACATAATAGTATATGCATTGGAGAGTAACATACTCAAATTACAGCACTCTAGTACAAACGGTATAATTTTAAAAATTACCTTAACATTTCAAATACATTCTGGGTACTTTTTTCACAAAACCGTTAATATCTCAAAATTTTCCATGAAGACTCACTAATTTTAGTATTTGTCATCATAGTATATGTATTGAAAATAAAAATACTCAAATTACAGCACTCTAGCTGTGTTTTAAATAATTTTAAAAATTCATCAAACTTTAAATTTTAATCTAAAATTCTTCACTAATATATGCACTCTTAGACAGTAATACGGCATCTGGTGTATATTTTGTTAGAAATCTTTTAAATTTCAGTATTTTACAACATAGTATATACATTAAAGACCAACATACTCAAATTACAGCATTCTAGTACAAACAGTATAATTATAAAAAATTACCTAAACACCTCAAATACATTTTGGGTACTTTTTTCACAAAACCACTAATATCTCAAAATTTTCCAAAACGACTCATCAATTTTAGTATTTGTGATCATAGTATACACACTGAACACCGACATACTCAAATTACAGCACACTAGTTACATGCTACATATTTTTAAAAATTACTCAAACTCCAAAATTGTTTTCTTTGCATCCACACTTATTTCAAATGTACCAAAATTCAGTTAAGCGGAATAGTGCAGGCGTCGGTGTATATTTTGTAAACAAACTTTAGGGTTTTTGTATTTTTTAAAGGAGTAATACAAACGGTGCGGCCGTAAATAATTGCATAAAATAGATTATATAATTAATGATAATAAAATTGTTGATGTTTTACAAAAAATAGAAGAATTTTTGAGTATTTTTGTTATTAATATTAGGAAAAGCAATTTGTAAGTGTTTTTTGATGTTTAATTTTGTACTTATAAAATTGTATTGAAGGATATTTGTGTCTGGGATTGTAGCCGAAACGTGTATAATATAATATATATATATATAATATATACATATATATCGGATACAATATAAACAATAATATATTCCTATATATATAAATATTTATTTATATATTATTTATTTATTTACACTGTCAGTTTCCTTCAGGATTGTTACCCAAGACGTGAACCTGCTGAGCCTTACTAAAGTTATAAACCTGTCCTGGTGCAAATGGTTCGAGTTTAGGATGAGAATGATTCGGATCTGACTTTCTGTTATCTAAAAAAAGGAAAAATAAAGTTTAAACATTTTTTTAATATAATTTTGTTCTAAGAGTTATAAAGTGTTATATACAGATTTGCAGATAATTTTATTAGCTTTCTAATGATATATAATAGTAATAATTTATTTAATTAAATTTGCATAAAATAAATATAAATATAAACAAAAGCATTGAAACTTAAATAATGCAAAGAAAATTATTAAAAGCACAAAAATCAGATTTCTCTGTATAAAAGCAAAAGAGAGAGATGGAGAGATACGAATTGTGTGAGTTAGAAAGAGAAAGAGATAAAGCTAGATACATACAGTGGGAAATGGAATCCCTATCCATAAAAAGAACATATTCAAAGTTTAGTAACATTTTTCTAGACAATTTTGTTCTAAAAGTTATAAAGTGTTATATACAGATTTGTAGATAATTTTATTAGCTTTCTAATGATATATAATAATATATACATGTTGGAACAAATTGTTAAAGAAATTTGTCGAAATTCAAAAAAATGTAACCGGCCGACATATTGGTTTACCAAAATGGCGTCGCACGACTCACTGTTCAATTCTAAAGTTTAAACATTTTTTTAAATTCAATTTTGTTCTAAAAGTTATAAAGTGTCATATACAGATTTGTAGATAATTTTATCTATTTTTCAACGATATATCATCTTATATATAAAAATGAATCGCAAAATGTGTTAGTAAGCGCATAACTCAACAACGCCTGGACCGATTTGGCCAATTCTTTTTTAAAATGTTCGTTGAAGTCCAAGGATGGTTCTTACGCGAGAAAAAAAAACGAATAATTGCCGGGAAAACCCTAAAAACAGCCCTTTTCTCTTTCACATACAAACGTTTTTTAACTAAAACGTAGAATCAATGTGAGCTTTATTGCTATTATATAAAGTACTCCTCCTAAACAATTATTCGGATTTTGATAAATCTTTCTGGAGTTTGTTAAGGAAATTTTCTAATATGTATGTGATTATAAAGTACTGATATGTGGGAAATAGAAAAAAATGCAAAAAACGACTTGTCATTGTTTAAAGCAGTTCTACATTTAAAATCGCTCATATTATAAATGTATATGCATTTTGGCGTGAAGAATAATTTAAAAACCAATATTATTATTTTTAGGTAAACGGTAAATATTAGTATATTATATTAAAAAATTGTAGACATGGGCACAGAACAAAGTCTGTCGGGTCATCTAATGATATATAAAAATCTAAATGAATCTAAACAGAATAATGCTAAATCCCGTGCAATAATTAATTAGAGTTTCACAAACTTAAATTTCGTGCAACTATCAATTTAATTAAACTATCAAATTTTTGAAGTGCATAAAATTACGAACAAGTTTACCATAATAATCTATTTCTATAACTTGGAAAAATACAAATTTTTGAACAATTTCATCAAATAAATCAAATATACATATTTTAAATTTAGCGAATTTAATGTTTGACTGTTTTTTCTATAAAAGTTTGTTAAAAAATGAAACCGAATGAAAAATCAACTCTTTGAGCAACAAAAAACTTTGAATAATTATTTCAAATATATTTGAAATTTGAATTTTAAATCTTAACGGTTACTTCAAACGCGCGAACTTCACACTCGAAGTATTTTGTCCAACGTTTACGGCGTGCAGTAATTTAGTTTCAACTCGGTTTCGTATTCAATTATAAAGTTTAAACATTTTTTAAATAGAATTTTGTTCTAAAAGTTATAAGTTGTTATATACAGATTTGTAGATAATTTTAGCTTTTTAATGATATATAATATATATACATGTTTAAACAAATTATTAACAAAATTTGTCGAAATATAAAAATGTAACCGACAGACATACTAGTTCACAAAAATGAACTTTGTATTTAACTATAAAGTTTAAACATTTTTTAAAATTTAAATTTGTTCTAAAAGTTATAAATTGTTATATGCAGATTTATAGATAATTTTAATTTCTTTCTAATGATGTATAATAATATATATGCCTTAGAACAATTTTAAACAATATAAACGCAAATATAAAAAATGTAACCAATGAAATCCACCATTACCTGATAATTAGATACTAAATTATAAATGTTTATAAAATTTTGTATCATTATATTATATAATGCTATATATCTTTAAAAACCTTATTAAATTGTGTACAAATCTGTATTTATAGTTTTAAAACTTTTAGAACAAAATTTTTGTCAAAAATAACTCAAGCTTTGCAATTTAATATAAAAAAAATTTCGTTGTTCGGTCACACTTTTTTTAAATTCGCATTATTTATTAAAGAATTTGTTCAAATTTCAATGCACTATTATATATCAGTGCAAAGCTTATTAAATTGTTTACAAATATGCATTTTTAGATTTGTAAGTGTTGGAATAAAATTATTAATAAAAAATTCAGGAATTAAATATTCTCAGTACGTATTGCATAGCTGAACAAATAACAAGATAAAAAAAATTAAACTTTACTCATTTTTCCTAATTAATTTTGTTTGTAACGTTATATACAGATTTATAAACAATTTTATTAGTTTTGTAATGATATATAATAATATATACATATTTGAACAAACTATTTACAAACACGATCAAAATATAGAAAAATGTAACCTTGAAAAGAAAACTTGACATGTTAGTTCACAAAAATCACAGTATAAAAAAATTAAAATTTTAACAATTTTTTAAATAATATTTTGTTCCAAAGGTTTAAAATTGTTATATGCAGATTAGTAGATAATTTTATTACCTTTCATTTGATATATAACACTATATATCAGTTATATCAAATGTCTGCGCTACAACGCAAAATATAAAAAAGTGTCCTTACAATTTATAACGTAACATATTGCTACGTTACTGTTACGTTAAAGTTACCTGTTTTATCTCCAGACCTCTGATCGGCCGTGATGTACTTTGATAATCGCACTAAGGGCAGTGGTAGAAAACCTGCGGTCAAAGGGATGACTTCTAAAGTTACTGTTTGTTCTTTACAATTGTCCACTGTTATTACACCTAAAGAAAAAAAAAACAAATATATATATATATACTAGACATTGTGACGTTTGTCGAGTTTGTTACTATAATATTCGGATAGTGCACGTCGAGACCTTTCATTTGATACCCAACATGCCTACATTTGAAGTAAAACTTTCCGACTTATGTCTGTTTTCGTGATATGCAACTCAATGGTCAGCTTCTGTTACGTCTCTTGTAACTTTTAAACCGTTTGTCCGATTTGAATGCAACGTTTGACAAAGTTGCGTTAAATTTAATTGTTTATAAGACTGTTTAATATTGTAAGACCGTACAGCAACTCGTTCTATATGTAGTTGTAACTATATTGGTCTGTTGAGAAAGTTACTATGATATATGGATAGAGCTCGTCGAGGCCTTTCATTTGATACCCAACATGCCTATAATTGAAGTAAAACTTCTTAACTCAAATTTGACCCGTTGTACTAACTTTTTTAATTTTTGTCATAGAGTTTCTTTTCTTTTATTTACACAAGTACAGTCCTTTATTGTTGCAGGCCAATAATTTTAATAATTTAATTTCCATTTGCTCGTCAGTAGAGTCCCTTTTTTATTTTGATAATCAAACTTAAGTTTGCTTGTCAGTAGGGTCGTCATTTTTACTTTAATAATCAAAATTCAATTTGCTTGTCAGTAGAGTCTTTTTTACTTTGATGATCAAAATCCAGTTTGCTCGTCAGTAGAGTCCTTTTCTATTTAAATTGATCAATTATTATTTTTACAATGTTAATTTGCTTGTTAGTAGAGTTGTTTTACCATTTTAATTTGCTCGTCAGTAGAGTCCCTTTTTACAATGACAATGTTATTTGCTCGTATCAGCATTTTCTTATTAATATTCTTTTCTATTTAATCGCTTGTCAGTAGAGTCCCTTTTTGGAAATATTAAGCTTCCTATTTAGTAGAGTCCTTTTCAAAAACTTCTAATACAATATTAAGACTGAAGGACTTTACTGACGAGCAAGTTAAAAACATAAACAATATTAATTTCAAAAAAAAAAAACTAAAAAAAAGGACTCTACTGACGAGCAAACTTAATTTTGATCCTTAGGATAAGAAAGGAACTCTACTGACGAGCAAACCAAAGATTTGATTCAGTATTTGGAAAAATGACTCTACTGACGAGCAAACTTAATTTTGATTATTAAGATAAAAAAGAAACTCTACTGACGAGCAAACCAAAAATTTTATTCAGTAGTTTTTGAAAAGGACGCTACTAAATAGGAAGCTTAATATTTCAAAAAAGGGACTCTACTGACGAGCAATTAAATAGAAAAGAATATTAATAAAAAATGCTGATACGAGCAACTAACATTGTCATTGTAAAAATGGACTCTACTGACGAGCAAATTAAAATAGTAAAACAACTGTACTGCCAAGCAAATTAACATTGTAAAAATAATAATTGATCAATTTAAATAGAAAAAGACTGTACTGACGAGCAAACTTCAATTAGATTATTAGTATAAAGAAGGACTCTACTGACAGGCAAATAGAATTTTAATCTCAAAGATAAAAAAGGGACTCTACTGACTAACAAAGTTAATTCTGAACATTAAGATAAAAAAGGACTCTACTGACAAGCAAACAGAATTTTGATTTAGAAAATAAAATATAAAAAACTTAGAAATCTTTCAAATTGCAAAAATTGATATTTAAGAGTGCATAAATTATGTGTACGGAACCCTGTAGGTTTATTGAGTTTGTAAGTATGATATTTGTATAGTGCTCGTCGAGACCTTTTATTTGACACCCAACAAGCCTATATTTGAAGTAAAACTTCTTAACTCACATTTGACCCGCTGTACTTTTTTGCCAAATTTTGAATCAAAAAAGGACTCTACCAACAACCAAATCAAAAATACCACTAAATCTACCTATCCTTACCTGCTGTCCTTCCACAAACCGCCCACATAGTCTGGTCCGCCAAAACTTCATACATAACCGAAGCCGTCGCATCCTTTTCGCAACCTGGCAACCTTGCAACCGACAGTTGCAGATGGCACATGCTCCTGGTTCGACAGAATTCGCTCCCAACACTTGGTTCCACTTTGCATTTGACCATATAGAGGGTTGTGTAGTCCTTAAGGTCGAAGGGACATGTGTATTGGGTGAAGGGTGAGGTGTTGGGGTCGTGAGTATTAAGGGAAGGGTTTGATGGTGATGGTAAAAGGGATTCTACTGGTGCGTACAGGATGCTAAAGTCCATTTTTATGTTGGCCTGGTGCTTTTGGAGTGGTTCGATTTCCAGTTCCCACATGAAGGAGGCTGTTATGCCGTTGGTTATCGTCTGGGTGAAGAAGAAAAGTTATTCTGAATCGTTTGGCATCAAATTTAGAGAGGTGATAAAGTGATCATGATTAGTCCAACGACTGTACGGTTTTAAAAATTTAAAAGGCTTTCAATGTAACTGATAAAACAAAAAAGGACTCTACTGACGAGGAAATAATAATGTTATTGTAAAAAGAAACTCTACTGACGAGCAAAATACATTAAAAGGAAGAAGGACATGAAAAAGGACTGTACTGATGAACAAAATTGATTCAATAAAAATGACAGGTAATTATAATAGCCATGAGCCTAAAATTTTAATTTGCTCGTCAGTAGAGTCCCTTTTCTATCATAATAATCAAAATTAAGTTTGCTCGTCAGTAGAGTCCCTTTTCTATTTGAATTTATCAATTAATATTTTTACAATGTTAATTTGCTCGTCAGTAGAGTTATTTTTCACTAGAAAACAGGAGTCATTCTGAATCGTTTGGCATCAAATTTGAATAAGTGAAAAGGTGATCATGATTTCTCCAAAACGGCTGTACCGATTTTAGAAATTTAAAAGAACAATACATTAGAAGGAATAAGGAAATTTAAAAAAGGACTCTACTGATGAGTCAAAAAAGACAGGTAATTATAATAGCAATGAGCCTAAGATTTTAATTTGCTCGTCAGTAGAATCCCTTTTTTATCTTTGAGATTAAAATTAAGTTTGCTCGTCAGTAAAGTCACTTTTATATTTTCCTAATCGTCAGTAAAGTCTCTTTTTTATTTTCGAGATCAAGTTTGCTCGTCAGTAGAGTTCTTTTTTATTTTCAATATGAAATTCAAAGTTTGCCTGTCAGTAGAGTCTTTTTTTGACATTTCTATTTGCTCTTCAGTAGAGTCCTTTTTTATTTTGTAGATAAAATTTTAAGCTTTCTCGTCAGTAGAGTATTTTTATTTTTTAGATTAAAATTTTGAGTTTGCTCGTCAGTAGAGTCCCTTTTTTATCTTCGAGATTAAAATTGAGTTTGCTCGTCAGTAGAGTCCCTCTTCCCTAGACTTTTTTCCAAAGGATACTTTTTGTTAGTTAGTAGAGTCCCTTTTCACAATAATTTTATTTGCTCGTCAGTAGAGTTCCTTTTTCACTTCAAATTATGTTTGTCAGTAGAGTCCCTTTTATAATAAATTTTGATTAAAATAAGTTTTGATTGTCAGTAGAGTTGTTTTTTAAAATGTGTTTATTTGCTCGTCAGTAGAGTAAAACTATTTACTCCTGGTCTACTGACCAAGAAAATTAAAACAAAAAAAACGCGAGTCCCTCTAATGTGGACTTTTTCTAAGGATACTTTTTGCTCGTTAGTAGAGTTCCTTTTATTTGCTTGTCAGTAGTCTTTCTTTTTTGAACAATTTTATTTGCTTAGAGTCCTTACTGACAAAAAAACTAAAAATAAGAAAAAAACACTACTAACGAGCAAAATTTATGAAAACAAAATCGTGAAAAAGGGGACTCTACTGACGAGCAAAATAAAAACAGAAGGAAAAAAGAACTTTACTGATGAGCAAATGAAATAGTAAAAAAGGGACTCTACTGACGAGCAAATAAAAATATTATTGTAAAAAGTGACTCTACTGACAAGCAAATAAAAAAAATAAAAGAAAGGACTGTACTAAAAATGTTTGGATTCTACCGACGAGTAAAATTTGGAATTTTGAAAAAATATCATGAGCAAATAAAATTTGACAAACTTGTTAAGAGAAATAGAAATCTACTGACAAGCAAAACTGGGTACAAACTAATGCGGAAAATGGCATTAGAAGAAAAGGAACTCTACTGGTAAACAAACTGCTTTTTACCAAAAAATTAGCAAAAATTTTGGAATCGTGTGGATGAAGAGGACAAGACTTAATTTTGTGATTTTTATGTTTTTGTAAGTCATTCTGAATCGTTTGGCATCAAAGTAAATGGGTGACAAAGTGTTGATAACGATTTTTCAAAATGGCTGTTCTGATTCCCAAAATTTAAAAGTCAAGTTAAATTGCATAAAAACTAGTATTGACAAGTTTTGCGCAAAGATCAGTCCAGCCGTTTCTTTATTATCGTCGTATTTGTATAAGATAAATAAGCGAGACTAACATTTGAAAACGGGTTCTTAATAACTTAATAAATTAAAAAGAACTCTACTGACGAGCAAAATTGATTCAAAAAGTCGTGTGAAAAGGGACTCTACTGACGAGCAAACTAAAAACAAAAGAAAAAAAGAACTCTACTGACGAGCACAATTGATACAAAAAATCATAACAAATGAGACTCTACTGACGAGAAAATTGAAAGTTGAAAACAAAAAAACTCTACTGACGAGCAAAATTTATACAAAAAAAATCGTGAAAAAAGGACTCTACTGATGAGCAAACTGTAATAACAGAAAAAGCAACTATACTGACAAGCAAAATTTACAAAAAAAAATCGTGACAAAAGGGACTCTACTGGCGAGCAAAATTAATGAAAAAAAATCATGAAAAAGGGACGAGCAAACTAAAAATAGAAAGAAAAAGAACTCTATTGACAAGCAAAATTTATAAAAAAAGAAACGTGACAAAAAGGACTCTACTGACAAGCAAATTAGAAATAGAAACAGAAAAGAAAAAAGAACTAAACTGACCGAAAAATTTAAAAAAAAAATCGAGACAAAAGGGACTCTACTGATGAGCAAATCAAAAAAAATGTTGGAAAAAAGAACTCTACTGACGAGCAAAATTTATGAAAAAAAAATCGTGCCAAAAGGAACTCTACTGACAAGCAAACTAAAAATTGAAAGAAACATGAACTCTACTGACGAACAAAATTCATTAATAAAGTCGAGTCAAAAGGGACTCTACTGACGAGCAAACTAAAAACAAAAGGATAAAAACTTTGCTGACGTGCAAAATTATACAAAAAAATCGTGTCAGAAAGGACTCTACTGACGAGCAAACTAAAATGAATGAGGAAAATACTCTACAGAGGAGCAAAATTTATAATAAAAATCGTGTCAAAACGAACTCTACTGACAAGCAACTTAAACTTGACTAGTGGTGTACGGAATCGTGCCTTAAGGCAAATTGCTGGAACTTACCGTACCGCAATGAAATATGTTCGAGAAATTTTAAACGTTTTCAAATATATTATTACAAATACTCTGTAACTTTCATTCATATTATTGCTATCTTGTTATATTTGAGCAAATTACACAAAAATGAAAAAGTGCTCTGTCACAGTCTAAACTAAATTTGCAAATAATTCTGTGCGACATTCATCACTTATACTGTGCTTAGCTTGGCGGCATTTTCACATTTTTCAATAGTTTTCACAAAATTTTTAATCCAAAATTATAAAAATATTTTATGGAAAATAAAAAAGACGAGCAAAATATATTAAAAGGAAGAACAAAATTTAAAAAAGGACTGTACTGATGAGCTAAAAAAAGACAGGTAATTATATTAGCAATGAGGCTAAGATTTTAATTTGCTCGTCAGTAGAGTTCTTATATTATCTATTATATATATAATAATAAATTGAATTTTAATTTGCTCATTGGTAGAGTTCCTTTTTAAAACAATTTTATTTGGTCGTCAGTAGAGTCCTTTTTTACAAGAAAAATATTATTGTCGGTAGAGTCCCTTTTAGATATTCTAAAATAATGGTCAAAAACAAAAAAAGGACTCTACTGACGAGCAAATTTAATTTTGATCTAGAAGATGAAAAAGGACTCTATTGACGAGCAAATTAAGATCTTATTATTGAAATAAAGGACTCTACTGACAATCAAATAAAATTGTTATTGCAAAAGGGACTCTACTGATGAGAAAATAAAAATGTTTGAAAAGGGACTCTACTGGCGAACAAACTAAAAATAAAAGGAAAAAAGAACTCTACTGACGAGCAAAGTTGATCCAAAAGAATTGTGACAGAAGGGACTCTACTGACGAGCAGATAAAAATATTATTGTGAAAAGGGACTCTACTGACGAGCAAATGAAAATAGTTTTCGTGAAAAGGGACTCTACTGACGAGCAAACAATACTTAAAAAAATATAAGACACATTTTTATAGAAAAAGAATTTTACTGCCGAGCAAAACTGGAACCAGAAAGCAGAAAATGTTAATAAAGTAAAAGAGACTCTACTGACAAGCGAATAGTTGTTTAGTGAATTGCTATGTTACAAAAGTCTCACTAATGAAAAGAACTCTACTGCTTTTTGACAATAATTCAGCAAAATGTTTGGATGAAGAAAATAGGGCTTAATTTTGTGATTTTTAGGTTTTTTCTGGATCGCTTGGCACAGAATTTGGATAAAGTAGGTGGGTGACAAACTATTGATCACGATTACTTCAAAACGGCTGTACCGATTTTGAAAATTTAAAAGACGTTCGATAACATAAGAACTAGTGTTGACAAGTTTTACACAAAGATCGTCCGAACCGTCTCTTTATAGCAATCATATATATGTGACAAACAGTTAATCACGATTTCTGCAAAACGGCTGTACTAATTTTAAAAATTTAAAGGGCGTTCAATAAGGCTCGATAAGGACTACGGTTGACAAGTTTTGCACAAAGCTCGGTTTAGCAGTTTCTTTACAATCAACAGTCAATTACAAAAAAAGTTGCGTCAACACTACGAAAAATCTTTTAATTATAATCAAACTAGTGGGGCACACACACACACATGCATCCATTTTTTCTATGGTATGCCAAAATGTTCAGAAGGTTTTGAAACGTAAAGCTATGTAAAAATTTTCATTTTCGATTTTTTGCGATTACCATAACTTGCCCTACGGGAAGTTAATAAATATTTCCTCACCAGTATCTGATCAGCCCCCGGATTCAAATCCCTCAAAAGCAGTCCATCTACTTTGCACTCCAGTTGTGGCCTCTTAAGGGCCACTTTCTGATCGTGAAGACCCCGAACCGACACCTGGACGAATTTTCTGGCCTGCGACGTGTGCAGCCTGCAGACGCTCAGGAAGGGCGGCGGGAAGTGGAGGGGCACTGTTGTTTCTTTCCTGGACCAAGGACATAACATCGAAACCTAGAAATATGGTAAAAGACAATGTTGTAGATTGTTTAATTTTGTACAAATTTGTCGAATGTTTCATTCAAATCGGACGTACGGTTCAAAAGTTACAAGAGGTGTAACGAGAGTGGACCAATGGGTTGCCGAATTCGAGGTTAAGTATGAGTTAAAAAGTTTTGCTTCAAATATAGGCATGTGGGGTATCAAATGAAAGGTCTCGACGAGCACTAAACAAATATCAAATTAGCAGACACACCAGACGAATAGGGTTCAATACACTTAATTTATCTACTTAATAAAATCAGTTTTTATTATTTTGAAGTATGCCAAGTTGGTGCATGGTGTGACTATATTAAAGCACATCATAGATCGCTTCATTTAACACAACTTTGTCGAATATTTCATCCAAATCGGACAAACGGTTCAAAAGTTACGAGAGATATAATGAAAAGTAAACCAATGGGTTGCCGAATTTGGGGTCAAAGATGAGTTAAAAAGTTTTACTTCAAATATAGGCATGTGGGGTATCAAATAAAAGGTCTCGATGAGCTTTATTCAAATATATCAGTGTTGAAATTTGACTAACAAGGTTCCGTATCATTCCATATATCCAATATTCTAAACTAATTTGAAGGTTTCTATTGCAATTTTAAAGTATACCGAGTTGATTTAAGGATTGATATTAATTTAGAACATTTTTGTTAGATGTTTTATTTGCGACAAACAATTTATTCAAAAGTTACAAACGTTTTAATATATAAATGCACACGGACGTTTTGTTCTACTGTAAATAGTACAGCGGGTCAAGTATGAGTTAAGAAGTTTTACTTCAAATATAGGCATGTTGGGTATCAAATGAAAGGCCTCGATGAGCACTATCGAAATATACCAGTAACGTCCAAAATAAAGCAATAGGGTTCTGTACACTTACATATATAATTTTAAAGTATAGCGAGTTGATTTAAAAATTGATACAAAGTACAATTTTAGATAATTTAATTTGGAACAAATTTGTCGAATATTTCATTTATTTTGGTGCAGTGGTTTAGAAGTTACACGAGTTTAAATAAATAAATGCACACTGACGAGTGGTCGTACTATAAATAGTACAGCGGGTCAATTGTGAGTTAAGAAGTTTTACTTCAAATATAGGCATGTCGGGTATCAAATGAAAGGTCTCGACGAGCACTATACAAATATCATAGTAACAGACTCAACAAACCAAAAGGGTTCAATACACATAATTCATCTACTTATTGATATCAGTTTTTATTATTTTAAAGTATAGCAAGTTGGTGTATGGTATGTCTATATCCAGTTCGATATTCAGTTTGCTCGTCAGTAGAGTCCTTTTTTTAATTTCTAAGTTGATATTCAGTTTGCTCGTCAGTAGAGTCCTTTTTCTAATGTCTATGTCGATTTACAATTTGCTCGTCAGTAGAGTCTCTTTTAAAACTTCTGAGTTGATTTATCATTTGCTTGTTAGTAGAGTCTTTTTTTTTAAGTTGATCTATAATTTGCTCATCGGTAGAGTCTCTTTTTAAATTCTAAAGTTTGATAATCAAGTTGCTCGTCAGTATAGTCCTTTTTTTAATGTTAGTTGATTTATTAATTGCTCGTTAGTTGTGTTCCTTTTCTTTTTTTCAAATCACAAATTAATTTGCTCATCAGTAGAGTCCTTTTTGTTTTTGATGAATAACGAATTTTTGTTTACTCGTTAGAGTTCTTTTTTATTCCGGAATAATTCAATGAGCATAACTTTGTCTTTTAATTTGCAATTTAATTTGCTCGTCAGTAGAGTTCATTTTCATTTTATTTTAGTTTCATCATCAGTTCTTTTCTTAGCATTTTTTTTATTGAAGATATTTGAAGTAAAAAAACAAGAGTCAGAAAAAAAATCTACTAACGAGCAAATGTATTGAAGGAAAAAAATCCGGTAAAAGGGACTCTATTGACGAACAAACCAAAATTAAAACAAAAATAGAACTCTACTGACGAGCAAACTGAATCTCGATTTGGAAATAAAAAGGGACTCTACTGACGAGCAAATTAAACAGTAAAAACTAATAACAGAAAAGGGACTCTACTGACGAGCAAATATTGGATTTGAGAAAAATAATAGAAAACTGTTACTTTAAGAAAAGAACTCTACCGACGATTTGATTTATCTTAACTTTATCAGTATTAACTATTGATATTTAGATAGTGCTCGTCGAGACCTTTCATTTGATACCCAACATGCCTAGATTTGAAGCAAAACTTCTAAACTTACATCTGTCTTCGGGTTCTGCAACCCATTGGTCGGCGTTTTATTATATCTCTTGTAACTTTTGAACGGTTTATCCGATTTGAATGAAATATTCAGCAAAATTGTGCTAAATTAAAAGATCTATGCTATTGTTTTGTACAGTAATACTCTACAGCAACTTGGTGTACTTTAAAATAACAAAACTTAATATTTTAATAAATGTTTTGTACAGAAATGTTTTGTACAGAACCCTATTACTTTGTAGACACTATAAGTATGATTTTTAGACAGTGTTTGTCGAGACCTTTCATTTGATACCCTACATGCCTATATTTGAAGCAAAACTTATTAAGTTATATCTTAAACGAAATTCGGCAACCCATTGGTCCACTTTCGTTACATCTCTTGTATCTTTTGAATCGTTAGTCCAAATTAAGTGGAATATTCGGCAAAATTGTGCTAAATAAAATTAAGTATAATATAGTTTAGTGTATATTAACTGTACAGAAACTTGATGAATTTTAAAACTGTAAAACTCGATATTGTGAATTGAATAAATGTTTAGTACAGAACCCTATTACTTTGTAGACACTACAAGTATGATTTTTAGATAGTGTTCGTCGAGACCTTTCATTTGATACCCAACATGCCTATATTTGAAGCAAAACTTATTAAGTTATATCTTAAACAAAATTCGGCAACCCATTGGTCCACTTTCGTTACATCTCTTGTAACTTTTGAACCATTAGTCCGAATTAAGTGGAATATTCGGCAAAATTGTGCTAAATAAAATTAAGTATAATATAGTTTAGTATATATTAACTATACAAAAACTTGATGAATTTTAAAACTGTAAAACTCGATATTTTGAATACAATAAATGTTTTGTACAGAACCCTATTGCTTTGTAGACACTATAAGCATGATTTTTAGATAGTGTTCGTCGAGACCTTTCATTTGATACCCAACATGCCTATATTTGAAGTAAAACTTTTTGATACCCAACATGCCTATATTTGAAGCAAAACTTTTTAACTTACTCTTACCTTATGTTCTACAGATCGATCGTCCTTCCTCGGTGGCAGCTCCGCCAAAACCAGCAAATCGACTTTGGTGCTCTGAAAGGGCTCGCTGATTTCTAAGGGAATCTTGAATTCTCTTGAAAATTCTTCCTCAGAGCCTTCGCATTTCATCAGTAGCCCTTTAGACATTTTCATGGTAATGAAGCTGTTTTCGGCGATTCGAAAACTGCCACTGTTTACTGTGAGGATCATCCTTTGCGGAAACCCTAATGAATGATAAATAGAAAAAATATGAGATAAAGGACTCTACTGACGAGCAAAGTTGTAATTATAAGAAAAAAAATGAACTCTACTGACGAGCAAATTAAAATAGTAAATAATAATAATGTAAAAAACAACGATAATATTAGATACAAATAATAAAGACAAAAAATGGACACTAATGACGAGCAAATTTAATTTTGATTTAGATGACAAAAAAGAAAATCTACTGACGGGAAAACTAAAATGGTAAAAATAAAGAATAAAAATTTTTAAGATGAAAGAGATACTACTAACGAGTAAAACTGATATCATAAAACCAAAAAGAACTATACTGACGAGCAAACTTATTTGTGATCTATAAAATAAAGATAGGACTCCACTGACAAGGAAATCAAAATTAAACTAGAGAATAATATTAGTTAAAAATTTCATATAAAGAAAAAGACTTTACCGACAAGCAAATAATGACAAAATAAACCGACGAACAAGCTAATTTGTTATTTAAAGGAAAAAGAACTCTACTGATGAGCAAACTTAATTTTGTAATGGAAGACCAAAAAAAGACTCTACTGTCGAGCAATTTTGAAATTTGATCTAGAAAATAAAAAAAGAGCTGACGAGCAAATTAAACTTTGATCTAGAAGAAAAAAGGAACTCTACTGGCGCGTAAACTTAAAATTTAATTTAAAAACTAAAGAGGGACTCTACTGATAAGCAAACTTAAAATTTGATTCAGAAGGTAAAAATAAGGGACTCTACTGACGAGCAAACTTAAAATTTTATCTAGAAAATAAAAAAGGGACTCTACTGACGAGCAAACTTAAAGATTCATATTGAAAATAAAAAAAGGACTCTACTCTCGAGCAAACTTTAATTTTCATCTACAAGATAAAAAATGGACTCTACTGACGAAGAAACTTTAATTTTAATCTAGAAGATAGCAAAGGGACTCTACTGACGAGCAAATTGAAATAAAAGATATGAAGGAATTCTACTGACGAGCAAATTAAATTTTAATTATTAAAATAAAAAGGGACTCTACTGACGGAAATCAAATAAGAATGTCGACTAAAAAGAGTGCTCTACTGACGAACAAACTCAAAATTTTAATCTAGAAAATTAAAAAGAGACTCTACTGACGAGCAAACCTAATTTTGATTAAAAATATAAAAAATGAATTCTACTGACGAGCAAACTAAATTAAACTTAATTACAATCCGAAAAATAAAGGAGAAACTCTACTGACAAACAATTCAATTGCAAACTAAAAGATTAAAAGGATTAAATTCAAAATGCAAATTTGAAGATGTAAAAGACTCTACTGACAGGTAAATAAAAAATCACAAAAAAAAAGGACTCTACTGCCAATCAAATAAAAATGTCCAAAGAAAAAGAAATTCTATCGGCGAGCAAATATAAAAAAGGGACTTTACCGATGTAAAAAAGAAATTTTACTCATTCAGATGCAAAGGGACTCTACTAACAAGCCAAGTTATTTTTGTTCCAGAAAATGACAGAGGGACTCTACTGACGATCAAATTAAAAATGTCAAAAGAAAAAGGGACTCTACTGACAAGCGAACTAAATAAATAAAGAACTAAAGAACTCTATTGACGAACAAATTAAATTGCAAACTAAAAGGTAAAAAAGAGACTCTACTGACAAGCAAACTA